TAGATAGATAGATAGATAGATAGATAGATAGATAGATAGATAGATAGAGATACAGATGTACAGATTCACACACACACACACACACACACACACACCAAACTATTCTAAAAATACGAGTTCCAGGTATACTTGTAAAAGAAGAAACAGACATCCTGCGATCTCCGGAACTTAAAATTTACATTTATTGTAATTTTATTGTACATTTATTGTACTTACTAAGCTTTCCTCAGCCTCTGCTGACGTCATCAGAGTATTAAGCTACCATAACAAAGATCCCTGCCTTTTAATGATATATAAAGGCAGAGATCTCTATAACAGTAGCTTAATACTTGGACGATGTCAGCAGGCGTCATAACTTAGAATGAAAAATCAGGCTCCCTTATGGTCATAAATCAAGGACTACCTGTGCACATGATTGCACCGAGCAGATATTACAGGAACGGACAAACAAACCCACAGCTTGCAACAGGAGTCTAACAGTGAGATGCAAATGGACTTTTTCCATTTATTCTTTTTGTTAAATTTATTATACATCCCTATTATCAATCAAAAACGCTTTTTTCCCTCCCAAGAAATTCAAAGAACATTGTGTTGTCTGTTTTCGCACAGGAATTACGCCCACACACATATCAAACTGACAAGATAAATAAAAAACAAACCACACATACATACCATGACAATTTCCTCTACTTTGGACTTGATGTGGAACCGAGCATCCAGTAAAAGAAACTCACGTGTCCCTAAGAAATTAGTGATGCTTTCTGGAAAAAACAAAAACATAAATGGATAAATCCATAAATGGAACTGGGAGAATAGTTACAAACAAACAACACCAATAAACTTCCAATGGTTTCTTAGAAAAGGATATTTGCTGCTGTTGGGAGGCGATTCAGCATTGACTTTTATTTAAATTTTATTTAAGTTTATGGTATGGATAGGATAATGGGGTAGTTCTCCACCTATTTTGGCCTGCAATTTCATCAGCCCTTCTGCAAACTAACTGCAGCTAGTAGGCCTTGAAATCAAATTTATGGAGGAATTCATGCAAAAGAAACTTGGCCTGGAAGAACAAGCTAAGCTTACACAAAATGCAGGAATAAACTACAGGTATTCCTCAACTTACAACTGTTCATTTAATGACAGTTTTAAGTTACAATGGCACTGGAAAAGAAAGTGATTTTTGACAATTTTTCACACTTACGATGGTCGCAGCATCCCTATGGTCACGTGATCAAAATTTGGGCACTGGAAACTGGCATGTCTTTATGACGGTTGCAATATCCTGGATCCATTTGTAACCTTCCTAACTGGCTTCCGACAAGCGAAGTCATTGTGGACGATCCAGATTCGCTTAATCATCATCCTTTTTTAATGACCCCATGTGGAGTCTGGGCAACCGAATGGAGATGAGTGTTTACTGGCCAGATGCCTTTCCTGTCGCCAATACAGAGTTTTTTTCTCCAGCAGATATCTTTCTCAGTGTGCCCAGAGAGAGAAACATCTGCCTCTACCTAGGATTGAACCCACAACCTCCTGATTGTGAGGTGAGAGCTTCACCTTTAGGCCACCACACCACTCATCCAGATTCGCTTAATGACTGCAGAGATTCATCGAATAAGTGTGGCAAAAAAAGGTCTTAAAATGGGGCAAAATTTACTTAACAACTTCTTTGCTGAGCAATGGAAATTTTAGGTTCAGTTGTGGTTGTAAGTCAAGAACTGCCTCTATAGTGAAACCCAAAATCCTCAGATGGGCTCAGTATGGATTACAGGATCCACCTTCTTAATTCTCATACGAAGGTAAGCTAGTACATTGCTTTAACTGCGGTGGATTAAATCAAGTGGCCAGTCACATCAATCTTCTCTATGGTATATTTACGTATTCCCTCACTCTTTTCCTAATTGCCATTTTATTTTATTTTAATTGCTAAACCACTCGTACCAGACGTCCCAGGCCCTATAGTAAATGGAATCTTCTCTGTCTTTTATTTTCATCGTTAGGCGGTCCATCTCTTATAACCATGCCTTCTGGTGGAACCCTTTTTTCTTTCCAGAGTTGCGCATGGGAAATCCTTGCAGCTGTTAATATGTGTCACGTGACATATCTATCTTATTGCATTTTTGTGTTATTATACCTAATAAAAAAGTTTCCGGATTAAGTTCAATTTTCTGATTCGTGATTTCTTCTAGCCATTGTCTAATTGTATCCCAATATTTGACGTGTAAGGATAAATATATATTGATTTATAGCAAGAATAAGATGTAATGGTAAAGGAATAAGTAAATACATATACTGAAAAATGTAAGGAGATGCAAAAGATGTCTTGATGTTGTCAACAATGTATAAAGTTTTATTTTATGTTGTTAAAATTTGAAAACTTAATACAAATTATTAAAATAAATAAATAAATCAAGTGGCCAGGTTTACAGGTAGCCATAGAACATGAGCCATTGTTTATAGCTAAAACCAAAAATGGGACAATGGGCTAGGCAACTACCCTCTTCTTCTTTCGGTAGAAGTTTTGCTTATTACAATTATCTGAGTTCTGCCCAGCCCCAAAAGTCAACCTATAACCAAGACCTGGCATAGAAAAGCAATTTAAAGAAAGAAAACCAACCAAATGCCCCAAACACCAGCTTTTGGAAGAAGGTCAGAATAAAATGATTTGGATGACCTTCTGGAAGGTCAATCGTGAGGGTGGGTCAGGTGTATCTCCAGGATAAGGGAGTGTAGAGCATTAGGGCTACCATGAAAAAAAAAACATATCTCTAGGTCCTAAATTTGGAGGGGAGGTGTTGTTGAAACCCTAAACAGCACCTTTCGCCTTGATCTCAGAAAAGTGGAAGAATTATTCCAAAGGAAACAATCCAGCAGCCATGGAAAGCTGGCCAACACTTCAAAGATAAATTCATGTGGAATTGGGACTTTATTTTTAAATCTATACCGCCCCTCCCCCCAAAAAAAAACATTTGTCAGTGTTTGGGGAAAAAAAAAGAGGAACATTGCACCATTGAGAAAGATGTCCGCTTTGCATCGAGCTCAGAAAGGGGGCAAGGAAACTCTGCCTTCCAGCTGCCGCTGCTACATCTTGTCCACCTGACACTCCCAAATGGCCTTCAAAGTTAGGTCAGGTACATCATGCGGCAGCAGCCCAATTACGCAGTCATGAAGGTGTGAAGCCACCGTTCTTTTATAGGAAGAATAAGGTTTGTCTTCAGAGGGTGTGGGTGCTCCATCACTGCAGGCTTTTAAGAAGGGACTAGACCGGGGTGGGATTCTACCAGGCCGCACCTATTCGCTAGAACCGGTTGTTAACATTCTAAGCAGTTCGGAGAACTGGTTGTTAAAAGAAATTACTGGTCTAATCCTGTAAGGAAGTCAGGAAGGAAACATTCTGGTGTTGCTTACAGAAACTGCCTCTCCATTAACCCTTATTAGATTCTTGGCAGGACTAGACTTCCTGTCTCTGGAACATCTCTGGAGTTTTCTTTTCCCCCTCCTTTGCTGGTACTTTGCTTGTGTGGAGTGACCGTTCAAAGTTACAATGGCACTGAAAAAAGTGACTTACGACCATTTTTCACACTTACGACTGTTTCAGCACCCCCACAGTCATGAGAGACCAGGCGAGGAGATGCGTGCTTCGATGTGAGTGATATTGAGTTGGCCACGCCCAGCCAATAAAATGACCACCAAGCCATGTCCACCCAGTCACATGACCACCAAGCCACGCCCACCACCTAAGCCATGCTCACAGAACCAGTTGTTAAAAATTTTTGAATCCCACCCCTGAACTAGACAGCCACTTGTCTGAAATGGTATAGGGCAGTGATGCTGAACCTTTTTGTTGTGGTGTGCTGAAAGTGCCCGTGCCGGCACCCACAATGCAATGTGCCCCATCCCCCCTGCACATGTGCGTGCCTCCCAGCTGATTTTTGGCCCATTTGAGGCCGTTTTCACCCTCCTGGAGGCTCGTGGGAAGTTTCTGCAGTCTCGGAAGGCCGAAAAACAAGCCTTCCGGAAATACCGGAAGTGCCCGTTTTCAGCCTCCAGGGGGCCTCTGGAGCCCAGGGGAGGCCATCTTCGCCTCCTGGAGGCTCGAGGAAAGCAGCCTCGGGAGGCTGAAAACGGGCCCATTTCGGCACTTCCGGTATTTCTTGGAAGGCCAGTTTTTCGGCCTCCCGAGGCTGTAGAGGCTTCCTTCGAGCCTCTGGGAGGGTGAAAATGGCCTCAAACGGGCCAAAAAACAGCTGGGAGGCATGCGCACGCGCAGTGCAGGTCAATTTGGCTGGGAAACATGTGCCATAGGTTCGCCATCATGGGTGTTTGAGCAGGGGTTTGGATTTGAAAACCTCCGAAGTCCCTTCCAATTCTATTGTATTCTGAATAAATCTGTGGTTTAACTGTGCCCAGCCTGAAAAGTTCAAGATCCGAAATTTGCCTTTGTTCTTTTAGGTGTGACTTATCAGGTTGTACGGCTTAGGTCATTCAGAAAGTTCAGGATACGCTGATACGGCGTGGGTGCTGCAAATTCGGGAACCAAGTTGAATGCATTTTGCAAGACCAGCCCAAATCCTGTTTATCTGCTGCTCATATCTTGATAACAGCAGTGATGGGAAGAGATAAAATTCATTCTTGCAAATCTTCAGGCTGGTGTAATTTGCATTCAGACAAATACATGTGCAAAAATTAATTTTTTTTTTTTTTTAAAAGAGCAGCGTGTGTTTAATTTTGGTCTACAAATCTGGAGCTATCGTCTTTCCCTTCTGTTAGCCCATGACATTGTTGGAAAACATAAATAAGAATCCTGCGACTTTTGCCCTGATCTAGTGAGTGTTTCTCATTTTTTGAAACATATTGATTTATTCAGTTTGTGCATTGCCTGATTCTCAAATAGCTCTGGATGGTTCACAAGAAAACATAAAGCAGTAGAGCAATAAAAAAGACACAAGGATGGCACAACCAGCAGCAATCAAAACACACCCAGGCCTTCAAAAGGATTATACCCATCCTATCCAAAGGTCCGCTTAAACCGCTCTAAGGTAGGCCTCACCTGAATAGGAGCTCCTAGACTTTCCAGAGCCACCAGGACATTGTGGGTCTTCATTGAAGCATAAGATATAAAAAGCTGCTGCAAACTGAGAATGTAATTTGCCATATCCTGTTTTGCTTTGTTTTATGCAAGTGAACATTAACCATTGTCAATCAAAGGGAATTGGCACACTACTCACAGTTTCTTTTTCCACTCCCGCACGTTGTAAATTTGATAACCATCAGGTGTTATACTATAGCAGAAGATTTTCTATGGGAGAGAGATTGCACTGGGATCTTAAAATACCTTTTGTGATGATGGAATTGGGTCTTAAATCTTTTGTAGCCCCTCTATTTTGAGTTTCTCTAGGAGCTGTTGAAGGCTGAAGGCCAAGTGCCTAGGACATATTTATTTATTGAATTTATATTGCTGCCTCTTCACCCAGGGCGACTTGAGGCGGCTTACAGGATGTAAAACCATGTTTAAAATTTAAAAAAACAACACAATAAAAAGTAACAAAAAGAATCAAATAAAGTACAATAGAACAAAATCCGGGGAAAAATAAATAAAAAAATCACCCCCCAACTCCCACCCCCCGCTCCGACGACAGCAGATCACATGAACCATTTGATGGGCTCCATCCCACTCTGGGTTACCCAGACCCGCTGGTAGAACCAGGTCTTCAGCGCTTTCCAAAAGAGTATTAGAGAGGGGCCTATTCTAATCTCTGGGGAGGTGGGGGGGTGAGGTTCCAGAGACAGGGAGCCACCACGGAGAAGGCCTTTCTTCTGGGTCCCAGCAGGTGTATCCCCCTCAGGGATGGGACCCGCAGCATTCCCTGCCTCCCTGCACTGATGGGTCGGGTAGATGTGATCGGCAAGAGACGGTCCCTCAGACCCCTGGTCCCAAGCCATGAAGGGCTTTCAACTGTTGGTCCAGGAAAGGAAGTAACTGGTGCACAACCCTCAGTTGAGCAAAGACCCTCCTGGCCACGACTGCCACCTGCTCTTCGAGAAGCAGAAATACGGCTTCAGCAACAGAGCGGTCAATGTTTGGAATACTCTACCTGACTCTGTGGTTTCTTCCCCAAACCCCAAAAACTTTAACCTTAAGACTGTCTACCATTGACCTCATCTCTTTCCTAAGAGGTCTGTAGGGGGCGTGCATAAGCGCACCAATCGTGCCTACCTTCCCTGTCCTATTGTTTCTTATTTATTTTTCTTATATGTATCCATTTCATGTAGCCCTAACTATGTTTATACTTGTACCTGTTATCTTATAATTGCTTGACAAAATAAACAAAAAATAAACAAACAGAGAAAACCCCTAGATGACGCACAGGTTCTGTTTGGGGGTAGTGTCACCCCATCCAAGACCAAAGGTGGCAATTCTGCCTGAGCCAATGAACCCCAAACCCAGAGCCACTCACATATAAGAGACAGAGGTAGAAATCTGCGTTGCCTGGAGTCAGGCTGCAAAATTCCAGATGACCACTAGCTAGCAGCAGAGTTGGAATTATTTCTTTAGTGTCATCTAGTGATCATCTGAATTTTTGGCAGCCTTGAACTAATAGCCTTCGTATTATCTAGTACAGTGGTCGCCAACCGGTGGGCTGGGGAGAAAATTTTGGTGATCCGCAATGTCCCCCCCAAAGCAATTAATCCAGGCTGCACGGGAATACAAGGCTGCACCTCCCACATGGCACCCCACCTGCTGGCCCCCAGCCTTCGGCCGAGCACAAAGCTTACCTTGAGTAGAGCCACTGGAAGATAAGGCCAACAGGGGGGAGGGAAATCTGCCCCAGGGTGGCTCACTGACATTGGTGGGAAAGTCGGTGCCATATTGCAGAGCTGCAGTAGTCACAAGACTGGCCCTTTGGTCATCCCGGAGTAGCTCCTCCAGGCCATGGAAGGTCGGTGCACCTGGGTGGAGGAGCAGCTGCTCTGGGATGACCAAAGGGCCAGTCCTGTGAATACTGCAGCTCTGCAATATGGCACCGACTTTCCCACCAACGTCAGCAAGCCACCGTCAGTCAAAATTCATATTAGTGGTCCGCAGGATTTTAAAATTATGAGCTTGGTGGACCCTGAGATCAAAAAGGTTGGTGACCCATGATCTACCAGTTCATTTACATTTTATGGGGAGTACCTAACTAGCTATATCTACAGAATTAGTTATTAGCCGTAGAAGGAATACAAGAGAAACCAACATCAGCATTTCTGAACGTTAGAAATTGACTCTTGGACTACTTTGATTAACTGGAAAGAAATTGCTCATCTTCCTTCTCTCTCACACACACACAAGCACACTTCTTAATAAACAAGCCCATCAAATAGGTCAAAGCAAAGTCCCAAATCCCCATTTAGGAGGAATCAATCAAACAGGGACCACCAGAAAGATAGAGGGAAGTTTTCCTTGGCAACCTGACTAGCATCCTGAAGACGAGTAATCGTAGCAATCTCCTGGCCTTCTTTGCTCAGGCTGAGTAGGACAAAGAAAACATGACTTTGCTTACCGTGCAGTTCTGCAGATCCCTCTTTGAAGGAGGCAGCCATCTTCTGACCTTTTGCAGAGACCTACTTGGAAGGAAGTGGTGTTTCCGTCAGGCTTAGGCACAGCAGGTTACCAGGGCACGAGGTGACAGTTTGTGTTGCCTACCTCCTTTTTTGCTTCTTCCTGCCCTTACCTTGAACTGGCTCTTCCTGTCTTCCAGAACTTTGACTTAAAGTAAGCCCTGAGCAGGGAAGCAGACACCACAGGTGCATTTTGCATGAGCAAGTAAGGAGAGCAGAGCCCCACAGATGGGAATCTATTTGTCCTCCTACACACTGCATGTAAAGTCAAAAGCTCACTGCATTAAGATCAATGACTAATTAAGCAGCTTGTTGGATAAATGAAAGAGAGGACTTGTGAAGCACCACATCTCTCTTGCCTAACAGCAACCTGAACCTTGCCTTCTACTATTATTCACCCAACTGCTGAAGGCTTCAAGAGCAATTAATGGGGGAAGAGCAATGGCTCTCCAGAAATTGCTGAACTACAAGTCCCAGCATCCTTCATTACTGAGGGGAGTTGCTGAGATAATTCAACAGCCTTCTGGAAAGCCAGAAATTTGCCCTTGTAATATTAGCCAAATTCACAACAAAGACTACTAGTTATGGAAAAAAAAAACATATGATCCTCTCTTGGACAGGAATGCTTCATTTTAGGGATTCAGGAGCTAATTACACCATGACCTGGGATATAAACTAAGTTAAAACAGATTGGAATCCACAAATCCAGTAAACTACCAATGATTTTATTTTGACTCCGCTAACAACCAAAGCAAGTTCCATGTCCTTATGAAAACTGGAGTTCACCATGAACTCGATCAAGGGTCTTCAAACTTGGCATGTTTAAGACTTGTGGACTTCAACTCCCAGGATTCCTGAGCTAACATGAATGGAGGAGGAATTCTGGGAGTTGAAGTCCACAAGTCTTAAAGCTGTCAAGTTGGAAGACCCCTGAACTAGATAGTTTTGCTGGTGTGGACTGTTTAATTCTCAAAAATCATACCTGGATTCAGAAGTCTTCAATGCTAAAAATATTTTCAACCATGGGTTCTGGTTGGTGGGTTTCTGAATTACTGACAAAGCAGTTTCAATCCTTTTTAAGTTTGAGGCTTCCTAGTTCTGCTTGGAGAGGTTAATAAATAAGACAAACTTTCATCCTCCCTTTTTTTTTGTGGGGGGGGGGTTCTGATACTCCATTTCTGGAGAATATTTTTGATGCTGATCTGTTAGCAACTGGCTACTTGCTTCTACAAGGGTAGTCACAGTTCTAGAAAAGCTCTAGGAACAATACAGGAAAGCAATTAATTCGTGACTGTTTAATAAACTTCCTACAAATACACAATTTGTTTTAATTTCATTCAACTCTGCAGAGTCCATGGCACCACCTTTTAAAGGATAGAGGAATCAGAGTAAGTTCAGAGGAAACTTACTAAGATGAAAGGGTTCTGGTAATAAAGCTGTATGAATAATGGCTGAAGAAACGACGACCCCTTTAAGTTGGAAAAGAGCAAAAGTGTTGTACAAGTCTATAATTTTCTAAAAGATGATTGGCATACAAGTGGCCCAACAGCCACTCAACTGAAGCCAAAGGCAGGATAGATTTGTGTAAATTTAAAAGAAATGATATTCAGACTGAAAACCAAATAATTTGTTGATGGTAAATGTTCTTTCAAGCAGTGGAACAGTCTGTTAAGACAGTGAACTCCCTTTTGCTGGAAATTTTCAGCAAAATGCTCTTAAGATAAATTCCTCTCCTGAACCTTATGTTGAATTAAATCAGGGATGTCCAACCTTGGCAATTGTTAAGACTTGTGGACTTCAACCGCGTGACTGGCTAGGAAATTCTGGGGGTTGAAGCCCACAAGTTTAAAAGTTGCCATGTTTGGATATCTGTGGACTAATCCAGAAGAGAACTTTCAACTAGTATATTCTATGAATCTAATTAATGTTACCTCGCTTTAGTTATACAAGAACCACGAAATACGCTAGAATGGAAAAAAAATACATTCTATTTTTTGATCTGATTGAGCAAGATTATTTTTCATGCTTATAATACCCAGCGTAGCAATATATGCATAGAAACGAAAAACTTGCCTTTGAAATTCAAAACAGGAAATCACAACAGGCTTATTGAAAAAATTGCTGAGCCCCAGTATGTGGGTGATATGTGGAATGTTTAATTTGCTAAGTTGCAAACCGCACACAACCAGTGAAGAGATTGTGAATTTTAATACATCACTCAAGTCTTTTAACATTTAGCATCGGTCTACACAGAGTCAGGGAGAAAGCTCTGAAGTTTTCTCATAATCTCAGAACATTGTGGGCTCAAATATATTAAGCTCTGAGAAGTTTCTTCTCGTGCCATTTCCGTCATCGGATGTTAACGATCTTATTTTTAACAGCCACATGAAAAAGTGCTGCTGAGTTTTGTCCAAACCAGTTCCTTAGATTTGAAGCCATGATGTTCTTCTTCTGTCTGGACTTGGTTTGCCTTCAATCTTTCCCTTGGGGGTTAAGTAAAGCATGCTGTATTTTTCCGGGTGTCGCATCACATGTCCAAAATATTCTAACGTTCACTTTTTAATGGTTTGGGGGATTTCCCTTGGCTTTCCCAGGCAGCTTATCACCTCTTCATTTTTGATTTTGTCAACCCAGTTTATATGCAATAGCCACCTGTAAATCCACATTTCAAAGGCTTCTAGTCTCTTCAGGGGTGGTTCTGTCAGAAACCAACTTTCCACTCTGTAGAGGATAGAAAAGATGGAACATTTGACAATCCTTTCAGTCTTAGGCTTAGGTCGTGACTGCAGAAGACCTTTTTCATTTTGAAGAATGCTGTTTTGAGCTTTCTCTATCCTTGTCTTTACTTCAGCGGTCATGTCCCAGCTTTCTTGTAAATTAGAACCCAGCGACACGATCCTTTCGACTTTTTCTAGTGGTATTCTGAAAAGTTTAACCACTCTTATTGAATTAACTATAATGGCTGGGGTTCACATGATCGACTAATGTGAAGGAGAGGATTAAGATTATTGTCAAGCTCCATCTTCCATTACTGAATAATTGCAAAACTCTGCAACAATATGATTCATAGAAACAAATAACAAGCTGTCCCGAGAGCATATTAATTTTGTTACTAATAAATTAACAAATGCTATCTTAAATTTGCGCAAAAATGTCTAAGCCTAGAGTTCTGTTTGATTTTTAATACAGAAGCATAAAAACGCAACCTCTTTTGAATTAGGAATATTAAAAAGCACAGAGGGAATAAAATCTGTGGAACATATTTATTCTACTTTTGCAAGGCTCAGATTTAAGACTTCGACCTCTTTAGAAAACAGTGTTAATTAAATGTCAATGGTCCAGAATATTATAGTAATATATCTAAGTGCAAAGTGCATGAAAAGATACATGCTCGGCAATACGAGACAAGACAGAAAGACCTGCACACGGATTAGAGAACAAATGAAAGTATATGATACCATCAAGAGTAAAAGAACTGAAATGGAAATGGGCTGGTTACATAGCAAGAAGGACCGATGGTAGGTGGACCATCACAGAATGGATCGCACTTGATTAAAAAGTTTCCACAAGACCTAAAACAAGAAACGACATCAGGAAGCATTGTGGGCCCAATTGGCAAAAGGAAGCTTGGTTGGAAACATGTCGAAGAGACCTTCATTCTGCAGTGGATAATGGCTAAAATGATGATGGTACAGTATCCCAGTTTTCATCCTATTCTACACCTCCAGCTTCTCCTAAATAAAACGATCAAAGCAATTCAGAAAAATCCCAACACTGATTAGGCTTTGCAATGTTCACAACAGATCTTCTGGATTTCTTCCAACCACCACGTTCAAAGAATAAACAACTCAGTTCTTCCAGACAGCAAAAAAATAAAAAATAAAAAAAAATGGAAACTTGCAGCACTCTTGGGAAATGACCTTTTCTTAAAATAGGCCGTCTATTAACACAGGGACCTCCAGGCTTCTCAACTTTAAGACTTGTGGACTTCAACTCCTAAAATTCCTCAGCCAGCTGTACTGGGAGTTGAAGTCCATAAGTCTTAAAAATTGCCAAGCTGGGAGACCTCTGTATTAACACATGTCCAGTGCAACTCAAGTAAGGAAATCCTGAAAGCAGTTTTAAGTGAAGAAGCTGTACAGCAGACAAGCTTCAGTTGCATAGAAATTGCAACTGGATTTTTGTGAAGGACAGCAAGGTTTTGAGGAAGTATAATCGCCCCAAAGCAAAGTCTGCGTGTATATGGGCATCCCAAAAAGTGCACACAAAGCCTTATGAGATTTCCAGAAGTCTACTATACTTTTATTATTTTGCAAGGTTTTGGCACGTTCAAGCAAGTTTTGGGTAAGAATGAAAGAGTATCTCAAGGTTTTGTCAATGTTTAAACTATTTTTTGAATGGGGATTCGCATGTATTATCCAAGGGCGTTTGCAGGTTCAATGGCCCTCTCTGATATTTTATGGCTGATCCCTACATATTAAGATATTTTATTTTCTTATAAAAACTATACGCTGAATTACATTTTGGCATGGATATCATGCAATCATGGAACACTGCTAGAAACTAGAAATGCACAGCTCTTATTCACATCACGGTATATACAAAGCTGCCCTAAAGGCATAAGCAACTGCCAACAAATTGAGATGTATAAAAAATGAGTGTTTAATAGGAAAAACCTTCCCCTCCCTACCCCAAATAAAATAAGATGTGGCACCCCATGTTTACTAAAATTGACCCCCTCCTCCAATGAGGAGTGCTCCAAAAACTAGAAAACACACAAACTCACACACACAGAGGATAATCATTGTTATTTATTAGCTGTACAGCAGTATATTCTCCTTCCCATAGTCCAAACCCCATTATACGTTTTATGATGTTTTGTTTCATGTTGGTTTCCTAAAATAATGAAAAATATCACACAGTACAGCTAAGTACAAAAATGCATCAACCTAGAATTGGATAGCTAACCTGATAGCTCTCTTAAAAGCGA